TTTAGTGAATATTAAACAAAATACGATCAAAAAAGAATAATCTGGTAAAAAATGGAAAATGTGCGGAGTAGAAATAAAATAAGGATAAGAAACAAAGAAATTCATACGCAATCCATTACTTCAAAGCTGTATACATCTTAACACAGGCTTCAGTGATCCCTTAGATTTACTAAGATTAAATTCATGATAATCCTTTGCCAAGAGCTTTAAATGGAAAAATCTTTTAGCCCACTTGGTGCTTTATGATCAATGCAAACAATTTTGAGACTAACCGTTATCCTCGAATAAGAGCTTAGTCAACCTAAATCGCTTAAGATGATTTAAGGTCTGCTAGTTGAATTTTCTCACAATGAGATAATAGGGCCTCGAGATGGCTTTAAACTTTCCTGATTCTTTGAAGGTATGAAGACCAAGATGGTTTGACCTTTTGTGTAGAGGCAGTTTCCTTTTGTTGTATAGACGTTGTTTGACCTTGTTTTCGCAACTCACTCATATTGGTAGGAAACTTAGAGGAACGCACCTTGTTCGGAGTCTTTTTGACGAGTTGTAATATGGTGCTACGAATGGCGAGACTTTCACTGACGATGCCGACTACGATGCCGGCGAAACGTCTGGGAATGTACCACGTCCACGGTCCTACTCTGGAAATAATGATGCATACAATAGACTCTGGACAAGGTGCGTTCCTCGAAGTCTTCCTACCAATATGACCGAGTTGCGAAAACAAGGGCAAACAATTGAAGATATGAAGACCAAGATGTTGTGGCCTCTTCTAAGGGCAAACAACGTCTATTTCTGATTCTTGCCTCCCAAAAGGCTATCTCAATCAGGGTCGACTGCAATTTCGACCTCGCTTAGGTCTCGTCAGCGGAATGGTAAGATCGCCATAAAACTGGTAACTCCAAATCGAATACCTTTGGGTATTCGAAACCCTGAGTGAGATAGCCCTTTGGATAACAAGGCTTTGTGAAAGCCAATGGCATTCTGAGACCTGCACATATTATTGTCGGAAAGCTTAACTTGGGC